CTCAATGTCATACTCAGTGACGGACTGGCCATCTGGCATTTGGGCAAATGCCAGGTAAGACATAATAATAATAAATAATAATAACTTAATTTGTATAGCACCTTTTAAAACGGAGTTACCACGTGCTTAACAATAAAAACAATTACACAATAAAAACAATTAGTACATAAAACAATAAAACATCAAATAATTTAAAAAGAGTTACAATAATTAGGCTAATTACCATCAGTTAAGAAAAGACCATACGATAAATGTGAGTAAGAAGAGATTTAAAAGAAGACACTGAGAGACACATATTTATTTTTATACTCTAGCTGTGCAATGCTCTTGTCATGTTTTGGTGAAGCTATTGTAATATGCATTGTGGCTGCTGTAACATTTATTATGGCTTATAATACATAGGGTCCTTCTTGTTTCTGTTGTAACTAGTGCTTTTGATAGAGCTATTGAAATGTGCACTGTGGCTGTGCAGTGCTCTTTTCATGTTTTGTTGAAGCTATTGTAATTTGCATTGTGGTTGGTGTAAGATTTATGTTTCTGTTGTTATAATTTGGTTGTGCTGTATTCTGTCCAAGAGGGGGCGCCTTTGGTTAATGGTGGTAGTAGGCTAATCCTTTAGGATGAATTTGTGTGGTGTTTGATTTCAGATTTTCGTGTTTTGGTAGACATAGAGCTAGTATTATTAACTGAGGTTATTAGTCTGGCCTTTGAACGTGCGTGAATTTATGGGGGTTCTGCTGCTGCCATATTATCTTGAGTGCTGTGCATTGTTGTCTACTGTACCAGTGCAATTGTAGTGAGTTGATTGCGTGGTGTGTGTTCTGAATTTCTGCATTCTCATCATATGTTTAGCTTTCCACATGCTCCCATGCAAGCCACTAATCAATTTTAGCATTCATAATGACTGTGTCTGTATATCTCCTCTTCTATTGTGCATCAAGGCAGTGAGTGAGTGTGTGAGTTTCTGTGGTAGTTGTGGAACAGTCTGTGTCTCTGTGGCGCTCTGGAACGTTCTGACAATGGTACTGTTTTTTATGTTAGTATGTGTAAAGTCATCAGTCATAGTACCTAGTAATATGTGGGAGGGGGGATATGAGACACCACGCCTGTTCTTTCACAAATAAGGAACTGATGATCTAAAATGATGTAAAAATGCATATTTTTTTTGTAAAATAATATGAAAATTTTTCACCCCTGGCTGGCCGATGCACCGCCATGGGGCCTCTGTGTCAAAAATGCCAGGGCCTCTTTTTGGTCCCAGTCCGTCACTGGTCATACCTCAGAAACAGAAGGGGAGCCATATGGACAGATACTGAAATGGTGACACTAATCTTGAAACTGTGCTGATTGTACAGATCTTCTGTGCTGCTGGGTTGAAGATGTGTGTGAAGCAGACATGTTTAAGACTTTGTAGTTTCTTGTGGCAACATCCATATTTAAAGTATTGTCAAATGTCATGGCTACATATGAGTCTGGACAGAAATAGATGTAATCTGTAACCACGTTGCATAACTCTGATTTTTTTTATATTTTAGCGAAGGCACCATGATCATGCAGATTTCACCTCTCAGTGAGCAACTCACATTCTGAAGTGATACGTTATTTGAATCAAACAGTGGTTCTAGATCTGTTATCTTCAGTCTTTGACTGTAAAAATGTAGTAAAATCTCTCATACTGTTTTTCTTTCTTTTTTTCCTTCTGTGTCACACTTAACTGTGTTTACCAGGTATTTCTGGGCTTCAGCAAGTTCCACAGAAATAATGACCAGTGTGATTTGTTATGTTATACTGTGAAGTTAGTTAGGAGTTTTATTTCACAGACAAAAATCATCACCCCTTACCATTAACAGCTACTTCTGTTGTCCTCTCCCCTGTGAGAGAGAGGGAGGGGTTGGAGAGAGCCGACATCCACACTAAACCAACTTAATCTGAAAACACGTGTTTTCCTCTCGACTTTGAGAAGAATCATTCACTCTGACCCCACTAATTTGAGACCCACCTCTTACTAGATAATCACTTTAATGCTCAGTTTTGTTTATTGATAAATTAAAGAGGGAGGAGAGACTGTTTTTCCGGATTTTAGTGTTAGATGTAAATTTACAAGAATGTGAATTAGGTGTAAATTCTCATGTTCCTTTTCACATTGAGAGTAGGTGTTTCTGTGGTGATCTGGAGAATTCAAGGATGAGGCCAATCACAGAGTTCTTTCTTAATGCACGTTTAATTATGAGCTTGGATCAACATGGCTACATGCAAAAGCTATGTGATGATTGTGAACAGAGAGAGACACAGCTTATATAGGATGGTGGCATGTATACTATGGGTCCATGTCATTGGTCCGACAGCCCATTGGTCCAATATCCCATTAGTCGCAGTGCTGAACTTCTCCCGGCAGGCATATTTCTGCCTTGATGGTACGCCGTGACCGGCTCTGGGTCAGCTGGGAAAGGCTTGAGGCGAAGCAGGCTCACAGCTTATGTGTTTGTCACTTTCTTTTTCATTTTAACCCACACCATGATCTTTTCCTAACCCTAACCAAGTGGTTTTTGAGCCTAAACCCAACCAGACCTTAACCACAGGGCATCATGATGATTTCAGAACAACTGGACTTGCGAACAATGGGTTTAATATGGTCAGAACAATGGGATGTCGGACCAATGGGCTGTCGGACCAATGGGTAGTTCCCGTATACTATTACCTAAAATGGTGCCTTGACACATTTAACTTGACCTTGGGCCAACTAAAATTAGTCTAAATTGTCCATTCATCAGTAAGCCTAGCACTTCTGACGCCATGACGTCTATCATAACGGAACATGATCCCCAGAGGTCTTGACCAAGTACCCACTGGTCAGTGGAGATGTAAAAATACATACTAACACACATGTAAACAGTTGTTTCAGATTGTATCCTCTAAGATGGATCAATAAAGTAAGGCAGACAAATCAGAAAGTCTGTTGGATGGAAATAGTGCGTCAGTCCAAAAGATGCAGATAGCAACAGAGAAAGGAAGACAGAGGGAAATGAGAAGAGGATGTGTTGAATACTTCAGGACTGTCTTGTCCTGTTGCAAAACCACAACACTTTATCAAGTAATATATTCAGGAAAAAAACATTGTTTTCTGTTGGGCTGTTATTTTAGGCCACATCCACACTACTACCTTATAGTTTTAAAGTTGTAACTATTACGACATTAGTTCTGTCTGTGCAGAGATCAAGCTATAGAGTTACTGCAAAGTCTCCTCTTTATGTTTCCTTTGCATTTTTTCACAGAACCAAATGACATGTATGTTGTTGTATAGTGTGTTCTAGGAATAGTTAGAACCTGGATATGAGTTATCATTTTTGCACTCCTGGTTCATTTGTCTTGAAGACAATTGATTTTACGTAGGTTAGTGTTTTTTGCCTGAAATAAGGTTTGTGGTCAGCACAAGCTCAAGAGACTTTCATTTTTGTTCTACAACATAAAATGCATCAGTAAATACCCCACTGGTGAATTTTGAAGCTTGTTTGTATCTTAAAAAAGGCGGTTGCTAAGAAGTGGTTAAGTGAGACAACAGAATGTTATCACACCGAACACGGCTTCACAGCATTGTTGTGGTGACCATGTTAAGTGAAGTGACTGTTGTGTAGTTTGTTTACAGCTAACAGTAGCTTTTTACTTCTGTTGATTGAATTTAAAATCATAACAGTGGTGTTCATTTGTGAAAATTATCTTGATGCAGTTCAATCCTCGGCTCCTCCAGTAGGCATGTCGAACTGTCCTTGAGCAAGATACCTGAACCCAAGTTGTTCCTGATGGCTGTTCCATCAGTGTGTGAGTGTGTTAAAAAGCAGATGGCATGAATGTGTGTGTGAATGTGACTTGTAGTGTAAGAAGTGCTTTGGGTGGTCGGAAGACTGGAGAGATGCTATACAAGTGCAGGACCAATAACCATTTGATGAACAAAACATGTAAGTATCATAAACATTTGATTGCCACAGAGCCTATTTTCTGCAATAATCCAAAATCCAATGGATAAATCCCATAGGCCTTTTGACAAAAGAACCAGGGCAAAGCTCTCTCTGAATCTCTCTGAAGCACTTTTTTTGCTTTAAAATGACTCCCACCACCTTCACCACCTTATACTCAGGTGATCCTTTTGGTTACAGTACTATCTCAGCGTCTATCCAAGCAAAGAAATCTCTAGCCTTACTTCTTGCCATCTCTGGAGTATTCTGTAACAAAGCAACTAACTGCAAAGTAGACAACCAGCTTCCTGCTTATATCAGGAAGCATGAGACCAGTATAGTGTCCATATGATATGTGTTTTGGGCAGTGTAAGTATGGCTGTAGATTGGTTTTGAAACAGTGCTTAAACGTGTGTACAGAGATGATTTTTGTTACAAAATTAAAATGTAAGGATGTGGTCCTAGTTTCAATAAACTTAAGGTCAGGTACTGTGTGTCCACATAGCAACAGCACTAATAAAAGCACTGTTCTGTTTTATCATGAGACTTGGTTATGTTTAGATAACAGTATTAGATATCCTACTCATTAAACAAAGCTGTCCATTGAGTCAGTGTTTAGACTGGCTCAATTGGTTGGCTAGTGTTTTTAGAGGCTCGCTGTCATCATCTTTTGCAGACATAATGTTCTGAAAAGTAAGCATATGTATGTCTGCTGCTCTTGTACAGCATCTTATAATGCTAAATATGTCCTGAGCATTAACTTAAAAAAAGCACTAAACATACTGTTAGACTGCTGACTGAAGTTCAGCTGTTGACAAACTTCATCAGCAGACAAGCTTGTTGAACAAGCTTTTTTAATTGTAAAGTCGATTGCAGAAAAGTGAAATGTAGTCAGTTTCAATGTTCTCTTAGAGACTTTATCATATATGCATACAATTTCTCCTCTCTGGCACTCTGTTTCTCTTTTATTGTTCACAGCTCCATCCAAATTTAGTCCATCTTCACTTCTCCAACTTTCCTTTGAACTCTGCTTATATTTCCCCCTTTCAGTTGACAAGCCTATTCCAGATCACAAACCATCCAAGCCCGCAGCACCGCTGGTGCCACCCAAGAAGCCAGTTCCTCCTCCTGGGAAAGGCAGACCGGGACCAGGAAGCCTCCCACCAAAGAGGCCAGACAAGCCTCTCGCACCCTCGACAAACCTCAAGTACGTCTTATCACCTCTGTCCAGCATCTGTTCATCCAGCCTGTTTGCTGTCTTTCTGAAGGACTCTAACCTTTCTAAACTAAGACTATCAGTGCTTCTGTATCCATACAGCACCAGTGAAAGTCCTGTCTCTTGTAAAATGATGTTAAGGTATAAGGTACTCTCAAGAAATTACATTCTGGCATTCATGACATCTATGACAAGGGAAAGTAGACAGTAATGGCAGATGACATGGCCTTTGCAGTGCACAGATAGGAAGTGTTCTGTCATTTCCTGTTGTTTCTTGTATATATAGAGAAAGTATTTTTCCACTTCTTTTCCACATTCCTGTTTCTCGTGCAGGCACAATGGAGAGGTGCCTTCCACACGACCAAAGTCCGACTTTGAGCCATCATTGCCCATCAAACCCAAAACACTGTCTGGGGACTGGGGGGAGAAGTCCTCAGATGTGGGTATGTACAGTACTACCTACAGATGGTGTCAATCCTGATCTTAGTTCTCTTCTGGCTTTGAACTTGGTGAAAAAGTATCATGCATTTATCAATCCTCCCATATGATAGATTAGATGATTAGATTGAACTGAATTGAGAAACTCTGTAGAGGAAAATTAATAATAGTTGTTAAGGGGGGAATATTTATTCCTCATTTATTTCTTCCACTAACAGTTCCCTCAAGTCAACCATTTAAAAATTGTCAACAAACAGTTTGCAGCTGTCAGGTTTTGTATATTTTAGGCATTAATGTGATTTTGGTGCCTTTTATAAAATGGTGAAAGAAGACATGCAGAGCTTTAAATGGCATCAGGTCCAATAACAAAAGCAGAGCTCAGTGTAAGTCAGAGAGGAATCACAAAAGACAGGAGGAGTGAACAGTAACAGGTGGAGCCGTCACTGAACAGATGAATAGTTTAGAGGCTGAGGTTTTGGAGTTGAAGTAAAGGGTTTAGTGATAAACAGGGGAGCAAACAGGGAGGCACAAAGGTCCAGAGAAAAGACAGTTGAGATGATCCTAACAGAGCTGACCCTAAGGTAGTTCATGGGAGAGTCCCCTGTTTGTGACAGAATGCTTGTAAAGGTGATGAAGAGCTGCTAAAACTCCACACTGTGTTCCAGAAGACAGTCTGACACACATTGCCATGGAACATGAAAATTCAATCTTTACTGCAATCACAGGCAATGCTTTCTAACTGCAGCAGTTTACCACTATGGAGCTGCAAAGTGCTGTCACGCAAGAGGTGCTAAAGTTTTTTCAGTGTTGCATAACAGAAGTGGGAATGACTCATTCGTTCCTGTTTAAGTTTGTTGTGCTCTTTCGCACACACACATAAACTAACTGTATGTCATTAATTCTCTAACAGTTGCTTTTATTTCCATCCACTTATTTCTAAATATCCCTGTTTTTATTTCTCTGCCCTGGTTGCATTGTCCAGCTGTGTGTACGGCCCATACTAGTGAATGCAATATCTCAAGAACACCTTAAGGGAATTTCTTAAAATTTTGCACAACTGTCCACTTGGTCTCAACAATGCCCTGATTAGATTTTGGTGGGCAAGGGTCAAAGTCACTGTGATCTTGCATCTGTCTCATCCTTGTGAATGTGATATCTCTCAAGGAAGGCCTTGAAGGGATGTCTTCAAATTTAGCACAAACATCCACTTGGAATCAAGAATGAATTGATTAGAATTTGATGGTCGAAGGTCAATGGTCAAGGTTACTGTGATCTCACAAAACATGTTTTTGGTCATGGTAATCCTAAGTGCTATATTGTTGGCAAGTGGACTTGTTTGAGTTTCTTGAAGACGTTTTACCTCTCATCCAAGAGGCTTCTTCATTTCTAACGGCAAGACACAGAAATTCCTTACACTACAGACCCGTCAAAGCAGCTCCCAAAGAACAGAAGGCCTGACCTGAAGATATAAGGACTACAACACAGCACATGTGGACATACATGAGAAGTGGATGAAAAACTTATCCAACAGAAAGCTCACCCAACCAGAAATTTATGTCCTTGCCAAGGGACTGAACTTTGTTGTAACACAAAAACAGATACTGGTAGTAGATCTCATCAGGGCAACCGATTAAGCCACCGTGAACAGCAAGTTTGCAGACATGAAGGCAGAACAATCGTCACAGTAATTATTCCTAGCCACTGGTTTAGATGTGTGAATGAGAAAAAAATCAAAATAAAGGAAGTGAAAGCCCTCACAGATCACATCAATGCCATGGACTCTAACATTAAGTTCAGGCAGGAAAATGTCAGAGGACACTGTCTACCCTTCATAGACTATGCAGTGCACATTGTGGAGGACAGAGGCCTCAATATCAAAATGTACAGAAAATCCACACACAGATCAATACCTGCTGTTCAACTCTCACCACCCACTGGAAAACAAGCTGGGGGTCATCAGAACCCGAAATCATCGGGTTGAGAGGGCAAAGCAAAGGAACAGAAACACATCAGGGCTGCCATTAGCTAGCAAAACCACCTCTCTGTCAGAGGGGGAAAAGTCTTATGGTGCCGAGGTGGCTTAAAGCCACAGTGTGTAGGAATTTCTCCCATCTAACTTTGAAATCATATATTGTATTCAAACAGATGGCGCACTCTAGCGCCTCACTGTTTCAAACACGTAGTGCAACAACTGTACCCGCTGAGTACCAAAAAGCTATGATAACACTGATGAAACCATGTCATCCGATACTACATGGAGTACTCATTCAGGCTCCTACACAGACACATGCGACGCGAGTTGACAAACCCCCTCCTCACCATGCTGGCTGTGTTTACAACGTAGGACTGTTGGGGCGGATGTAAATTGAAACAAACCAATCACGTCTTGTCCTTTGACAACTGACAAGTGGCTCAACCTCACACACCTCATCCCTCTCCTCGCATTACTGCGCCGCTAACAGCTGTTAGTAGCCTGCGGCACTACTGCCGCATAACAAAGTCCCACTCTTTGAGCATAATGCAGGATCATGTATTATGCAGCATCACGGGAGACGGAATCCTCGTCGCCAAGAAAGTGCAAAAGGGAATCAAAAAGGCAGCGTGACCGGTGAATTAAAAAAACAAGGGTCAGCATTGGGGTTGCCTTTCCCAGGTGGAGAGAGCTGCTGAAGGAGAAAGGCCCATACAATCACAGGCCAGCGCTAACAGCAGCTAACAGCGGCGCAGTGATGCGAAGAGAGGGATGAGGCTGTTAGCGACTGGCTGCTAACAGCGGCTAACAGCGGCTAACAGCGGCGCAGTGATGCGAGGAGAGGGATGAGGCTGTTAGCGACTGGCCGCTAACAGCGGCTAACAGCCAACAGCGGCGCTGGCCTGTGATTGCATTACCATTCTCCCTCAGCAGCTCTCTCTACCTGGGAAAGGCTACCCCGATGTGGGCCTTCGTTTTTTTAATTCCCTGGTCACGCTGCCTTTTCTATTCCCTTTTGCGCTTTCTTGGCGACAAGGATTCCGTCTCCCATGATGCTGCATATGCATGATCCTGCATTATGCTCAAAGAGTGGGACTTTGTTTCAGATTTGCCAGGGTAGTAGCGAAGCGCCTCTTGCTCCTCTCCTTCGGCTCCTCAGTCACGCAGTGCTGGCCTGGCTCTCAACGAAAACGCCGAAGGCAGTGTTGTATGTCCCTTGCTGGCAGGTGTATTCTCAAGATGGCGAAACGTAATGGAACCCCACAGACGACTTACCCGCACAATGTACAAACAAATCCGAAATTCTCCTTTTACGAGAATAAGTCAGATTATTGGTGGAGGTAATAGTACACCAGTGATGACATATTTATGAATGCAGACATCAATTTTTGCCAATAAACAACTGAAAATGTTACACAATGTCCCTTTAATTGTGATCCCCTCAGCTTGTTAGGAGGTAGATGCTCACAATTTCAGAACATGCCATTAACTGGGTATTATGGTCTGTATGCATAACCATAGAAATTCTGCTTTAAATGTGACTGCTACTTAAAATTTAAAATCTCGGAATGTATGTTAAATAAGCTTTAGATAGCCCTGTAGGATATCTCTGTTTGCCCACTTAGCTGACCATTTCACACTTTAACTTGTGAGCATTTTTAAGAGTTGATATTCTGCTGCTCTGCTTGCTAATATAATTAACTGACAGGAAATACATATATATATATATATATATATATATATATATATATACAGTACAGGCCAAAAGTTTGGACACACCTTCTCATTCAATGCGTTTTCTTTATTTTCATGACTATTTACATTGTAGATTCTCACTGAAGGCATCAAAACTATGAATGAACACATGTGGAGTTATGTACTTAACAAAAAAAGGTGAAATAATTGAAAACATGTTTTATATTCTAGTTTCTTCAAAATAGCCACCCTTTGCTCTGATTACTGCTTTGCACACTCTTGGCATTCTCTCCATGAGCTTCAAGAGGTAGTCACCTGAAATGGTTTCCACTTCACAGGTGTGCCTTATCAGGGTTAATTAGTGGAATTTCTTGCTTTATCAATGGGGTTGGGACCATCAGTTGTGTTGTGCAGAAGTCAGGTTAATACACAGCCGACAGCCCTATTGGACAACTGTTAAAATTCATATTATGGCAAGAACCAATCAGCTAACTAAAGAAAAACGAGTGGCCGTCATTACTTTAAGAAATGAAGGTCAGTCAGTCCGGAAAATTGCAAAAACTTTAAATGTGTCCCCAAGTGGAGTCGCAAAAACCATCAAGCGCTACAACAAAACTGGCACACGTGAGGACCGACCCAGGAAAGGAAGACCAAGAGTCACCTCTGCTTCTGAGGATAAGTTCATCCGAGTCACCAGCCTCAGAAATGGCAAGTTAACAGCAGCTCAGATCAGAGACCAGATGAATGCCACACAGAGTTCTAGCAGCAGACCCATCTCTAGAACAACTGTTAAGAGGAGACTGCGCCAATCAGGCCTTCATGGTCAAATAGCTGCTAGGAAACCACTGCTAAGGAGAGGCAACAAGCAGAAGAGATTTGTTTGGGCCAAGAAACACAAGGAATGGACATTAGACCAGTGGAAATCTGTGCTTTGGTCTGATGAGTCCAAATTTGAGATCTTTGGTTCCAACCGCCGTGTCTTTGTGAGACGCAGAAAAGGTGAACGGATGGATTCCACATGCCTGGTTCCCACTGTGAAGCATGGAGGAGGAGGTGTGATGGTGTGGGGGTGTTTTGCTGGTGACACTGTTGGGGATTTATTCAAAATTGAAGGCACACTGAACCAGCATGGCTACCACAGCATCCTGCAGCGACATGCCATCCCATCCGGTTTGCGTTTAGTTGGATGATCATTTATTTTTCAACAGGACAATGACCCCAAACCCACCTCCAGGCTGTGTAAGGGCTATTTGACCAGAAGGAGAGTGATGGAGTGCTGCGGCAGATGACCTTGCCTCCACAGTCACCGGACCTGAACCCAATCGAGATGGTTTGGGGTGAGCTGGACCGCAGAGTGAAGGCAAAGGGGCCAACAAGTGCTAAACACCTCTGGGAACTCCTTCAAGACTGTTGGAAAACCATTTCAGGTGACTACCTCTTGAAGCTCATGGAGAGAATGCCAAGAGTGTGCAAAGCAGTAATCAGAGCAAAGGGTGGCTATTTTGAAGAAACTAGAATATAAAACATGTTTTCAGTTATTTCACCTTTTTTTGTTAAGTACATAACTCCACATGTGTTCATTCATAGTTTTGATGCCTTCAGTGAGAATCTACAATGTAAATAGTCATGAAAATAAAGAAAACGCATTGAATGAGAAGGTGTGTCCAAACTTTTGTCCTGTACTGTACATATATACAGTACAGGCCAAAAGTTTGGACACACCTTCTCATTCAGTGCGTTTTCTGTATTTTCATGACATCCGTTCACCTTTTCTGCGTCTCACAAAGACACGGCGGTTGGAACCAAAGATCTCTCTTGTGTTTCTTGGCCCAAACAAATCTCTTCTGCTTGTTGCCTCTCCTTAGCAGTGGTTTCCTAGCAGCTATTTGACCATGAAGCCCTGATTGGCGCAGTCTCCTCTTAACAGTTGTTCTAGAGATGGGTCTGCTGCTAGAACTCTGTGTGGCATTCATCTGGTCTCTGATCTGAGCTGCTGTTAACTTGCCATTTCTGAGGCTGGTGACTCGGATGAACTTATCCTCAGAAGCAGAGGTGACTCTTGGTCTTCCTTTCCTGGGTCGGTCCTCATGTGTGCCAGTTTTGTTGTAGCGCTTGATGGTTTTTGCAACTCCACTTGGGGACACATTTAAAGTTTTTGCAATTTTCCGGACTGACTGACCTTCATTTCTTAAAGTAATGACGGCCACTCGTTTTTCTTTAGTTAGCTGATTGGTTCTTGCCATAATATGAATTTTAACAGTTGTCCAATAGGGCTGTCGGCTGTGTATTAACCTGACTTCTGCACAACACAAGTGATGGTCCCAACCCCATTGATAAAGCAAGAAATTCCACTAATTAACCCTGATAAGGCACACCTGTGAAGTGGAAACCATTTCAGGTGATTACCTCTTGAAGCTCATCGAGAGAATGCCAAGAGTGTGCAAAGCAGTAATCAGAGCAAAGGGTGGCTATTTTGAAGAAACTAGAATATAAAACATGTTTTCATTTATTTCACCTTTTTTTGTTAAGTACATAACTCCACATGTGTTCATTCATAGTTTTGATGCCTTCAGTGAGAATCTACAATGTAAATAGTCATGAAAATAAAGAAAACGCATTGAATGAGAAGGTGTGTCCAAAACTTGGCCTGTACTGTATACATATATATACACATACATATTGTCTCTCTATCTCTTCCTCATCTCTTCTTGATAGACCTGATGAGTTTTGATGAGTTGTCGTCTACCTCGGAGAAGCTCTCTCACCCCACTGCTAACAGACCAAAGATGCCTGGCAGGAGACTACCCGCCCAGTTTGGTGGAGGACATTCGGTGAGCGTACACAGCCACTCAGCATACTCACACACAGATGATTGTATAGTTGGAACTTAATTCACAGCAGGGTGTATGCAGTTCAGCAGAGTCCATGTTGGGATGTTTGAAACAAGCAAGATTGGGAAAAGTTGTAACTGTTTCTTTCCAGTTTGCATGTTATTGCAGATTTATTTTCATAGTGAGTGTCAAGATGTCATGTCACATGGTGGATTGTCAGATGCCACAGTGGAGGGTTGGGCTCTGATAAGGGTTCCATTTCTGTTCTGGCTCTAGTAGGCAACACACCCAAACTTAAGGTCAGACAGGAACAAATGGTGGACTGTTCCCTCTGGGTTGTAAGTGAGTTGCTGTCCCAAGTGAAACAGTTCAGGTATCTCAAGTTGTTGTGCAGGAGTGAGGGTGAAATGGACTAAGAGATAGACCAGCTATTTGGTGTGGTGTCAGCAGTGATGCAGGTTTGTACTGCATGATTTGGCTACGTAACATCAATTTTCAGAAGAATCCCCAGATTAAATATTTATTTTGTCAATGCATATTTTAAGTTAATCAACTTTATAGTAGGGCTACAACTATTAATTATTTGTAATCAGTTTTTCTATAATTTAACGATTATTTTTAGTTTTTCTATTTTTTCTATTTTTGGTCGACTAATCCAACAATGAATTAATAGATTATTCGAAACATAAGTGCTATATAGTAGGCAACTGGACTTGCTTACGTTTCTTGAAGACGTTTCGCCTCGCATCCACAAAGTTTCTTCAGTTCTAAATGACTGTTAGGGAGTTGCAGGCTTTAAACCCTGTGTGGGTGTGAACCCTTGCAGAGTCATAGGGGTCACATGTGAGCTCTTAGTTTCAGAGTTGTTAAGGTCACAACATGAGTCGTGGACCCACCTTGCCACCATGAGTCAAAAAAAACAAAAAAAAAAACAAGTGTGGTTTCTCAGCCAAAAACAGGTTGTGACAAATCCATCTTCTTTAAATGCTTAAGTTTCTTATTTTCCTTTCTCACTCTCTTCTCAAATGAGGTCCCTCAGCTCTCTGAAACCTGTCACCTCCCGTCACTTATTCACCCTCTGGTATGTTCTATGTCATCCACACTCACAAGCAGCCCTCCTCACACGGGTCTCAGCGCCTGCCTTCCTCACCTCATCTTACAGAGCACTTGCTCTTGTCAAGGCAACACTCAGCTGCATTTGTCCAAATGATTGTGTGAGATTAATGGTCAGCCATAATTAGGGACTTCTCTAAATGTTGGCAGACTATTACTATGTTTGTTTTGTTTTATCAGTCAAGTTTCAGGATGCTGTAAACAGAAAATCATATAAAATTGTAAATCAGTCAGTAAATAAAACTCTTCCCTCGCAGCCCAATAAGGAAGTGAGTGTGGAGAAATCCTTCAAGATTGATGAAGAGGATGCTGCCAAACCAAAGCTAACAGAAACCAGAAAGGTAACGTTGGGCACCATTATTCACCAATGTCATGATAATTATAGATGACAAACACTGTAAACAGCATGATTAAGCAATATCACACTAGAGGGAGTGCTGTTGTACTGAATGTCAGTATAGCTGTGATTCGGTCTGAGGCTCCAGGCCACAGACTCATCACGGCTGTGATGTTATTTAGTATAACAGCAGGGCCTTGAGCCTGATATTGTTTTTAAACAACAGTTTTATAAGTGCCATTTACTAGTTAACAGTTATTAGAGACAACATATTATGTTTTGTTTGTTGATTTAATGATTTATTTTGCTCCACTAACACAAATAGTTATGCTACTGGACTGAGACTTGACTGTTCCTAAGCAATACATAAACATTCCTGCACAATGGCTTGCTACTTTGTGTAAGCTACATTTTAAGCCCAGTTCAGACCAATGATTTGCGACGAGACGAAACCACTTTCGTCACGTTGCAGAGAAAAGCTTCAGTGGTATGAACTGGCCAGGCTGAGCTTGGCTCAAGCTGGCTGATGGTGTCACCTGCAACTCATCTGGTCAAATTGCCGGTGGTTGGTTTTAGAATATAAAGCACATCACCTGTTTAAACAGCCAATCAGTTTGTAGTGAAGTCTGCTGGTCAAGTCAAAAGGACCGCAGGCGGCACACATACGCACATATTCTCATGGACTGATTGATTGACGCTGGTTATTTATGTTATTGTGGCATATTTATTATGAATACAGTCCATCTGATGCTTGTTTTGTGACATAATAGCAAATTAATTTTCTGCAGCTGTCAATCTACATAGCTCTAATATGCGTTGATGTGTGACAGTGTTTAGTTTTCCATTGCGTACTCTTCATCACTTTCTCCCAGGATTTGTCTCTCTCTTCAAGTATACCAGGTAGCTGAAATTATATTTGTATGGAGTTTGAATCTGATAAGTTTGAAAAACCCAAGGCAAGACAAAAAATTGTTAATATTGGGGCTTAAAAAGTCATGGAAAAATTTGGAAATCTTGTCCATAAAACAAGTGGAAATCCTCTTTGTATCATGTGCAATCTGTATGATTCTATTTATTGTGCAGCCAGTAAATTTCAGATTCCATTGACAGTCACTTTGGTGGCATGTGTGATGATTTTATAGCTCATCAGACAGTATGTAGCATTCTTTGCCAATGTCATAGGAACACACCTGGAGGTTTGCAGTAGAGTATCCAGGCTTCTATACGTCCCCTTATCCTCTTCTGACGGACATTAATAGTTAAACTTTAATGTTGTTAATGGAAATATGTTCCTCTTTGCAGTGCATAGTTTGTTACAATGACCATTAAAGTAGGCTTATTAATGCATAATGTAATTAACAGTGTAAAACACCTGTAAAGCAAAGTGATACTTGTATAGTGAGATACATAGTTCAAAGTCCCAGTGCTGTTATACTCTATATCAGCACTCATGGAATGTCTCTGTATCATAGCCTGTTGGTGACAGTTGATGACTTTTACAAAAATAACTTTTTGTCACTGCTTGTGGACTGCAATCAAACTGTCAAACTAAGCAGTGCTGATCAAATATGAATCCAGATTTGGTCATTGCATTGCATATTTCTCACCTCAGATGTTTTCAGAAACACAATTCAGTATACTGTTTAGCTGTACCATGTGAAAGTTTGCTCAGGTTGGTGGGTGGTGCTTTGTTTTGGCTTCACAGTTTTCAACATGGTGGCCGGGTAACAAACTTTTTCATATAAATGTAAGACATATTAGAGCTCAGCTGCTTTATCATTCAGTCGATTTTATCCGCAAATATTGCTCATCACAGATATATTGATATCAGCGAGTAGGTCCTCCAATATATGCCATTTCTATTTGACATCTCAGGATATGTCAGACTACATTGGCACAGAAAATCATGCATTCTTACTTTATCAGTTTATTTTTAAACTGTAAAATATCTTAAATATCTTTAATATGGAAGAATATCAGCTGATATATATCAGCCCCAAAAATCCAATATCAGTCCAGCTATAATACATGAGGATTTTTGTTTGTTTGTTTCTTTAGCAACCTACATGGACAATATATCAACAACATGTAAAACAATAAACGAATAATTTGGATCTTTGTATGACTTATCTATAGTCTGTTACCTACAGTAGATGTCAATCAACACGCCCTCAGTTTGGAGAAGCAGACAGGAGTACTGCCACTGAAGCTAAGCAATATACTGCTGTGGACAGGGGGCAGCAGCATAACTTATTTTAACCACCTAAAAAAATGTCAGTTTGAGTGTACGCTGTACTGAGGATATTTCCACCGCTTTACCTTGACACAGACACCCTGTTATGATGGGGAAGCAGTTAATGGCTTTAGTTTCTATGCTCTTGTCAAAGCCACCATATTCCATTAAGAAAAACAGTAATTCAAGCTTGCTGAACACAAGAGCTGCTGGCAACTGCCAGGATCAGTTAGCTTGTGTTATTGTGTGACTTCAGTGAATCTCAACTAACCCTTTAAAATACCATAGTCAGTAACACAAAAAAATAAACTATGGAGGGAGTGGTAGCCCAGCAGCTCCTGTGTTCAACAATGTTAAATTACTTTTTCCCAATGGAGTCTGGCTTTCAAGAAAGCAATACAGGGGCTTCGGTTCCCTGCTGGAAATCGCTGACCGATGGAAATATAAAGTGATGAAAATACTCTAAATATAGCATACACTTAAAGTGATATTGATTGTTTTAGGTGGCTAAAGTATACGTTTGGCTGCTGCTCCGTTTTACAGAAGTACATTGTTTTGACTGCCATGTACTGTATGTAATACACTGACTATGGATAAGTACCTCATATGACTTCATCTCAGAAAATCCAAACTATCCCTTTAAAGGCTTTTACCAACAACAAAGTTGTCATGTTAAACACAAGCCAGACAAAACTGTGCTCTGCAGTGTGTGTGTGTGTGTGTATGTGTGTGTGTGTGCGTGTGAGAGAGAGAGAGAGAGAGAGAGAGAGAGAGAGAGAGAGAGAGAGAGAGAGAGACCAAGAGAGAGAGAGAGAAATCATGGAAAGAGAGAGGCAGACAGACAGACAGAGAGGACTACAACCTGCTGTTCACCCTGCCTGTTCAATATTTCATTAATTACCTTAGATGCTACTGTCATCTCCTACTAAGACAGCGTGACTTCTTGTAGGTGTTAAGATAATGATATGGACAGTTACAATGAAATGAGCTGCTGACGGGTGACCAATTTAAAAGAAAACCCTAAATACATAAGTAAAAAGACATATGCAGATGATACCATAAAGGCTCACTGATTCATAAAGGATAGGTTCATTTTTTTGTTTTTCTAAAAACAATATGTATCACATATGTATGTTAAGAGAGTTACTGGGCACTTTAGTCATGGGGGGGATGCCATATACTGTACAGTTTATCCTGGTGACGTTTCAGGTAGGTATGAAGGTATTAAAAATAAGATGCCAACCCTATTTGGCACAAATGTCCACTTGGACTCAACAATGAACTGATTAGATTTTAGTGGGCAAAGGTCAAGGTCACTGTGACCTCACAACACATGGTTTTGGCCATAACTCGAGAACTCTCATGCTAATTATGACAAAATTTCACACAAATGTCTAATAGGATAAAATGATGAAGTGATAGAATAGAATAGTTAGGGGTGTCAAATTATTGTGTTAATTGCGAATAATTAATTACAGCCATATTTAACGCGCTATGTTTTTTGATCATGTTAATCTCATTTTTAATCTCTAACTTTACTGTTTCTGTAGCCTATGCCACAGAGTTGCCATTTATAAAATCCGTCTGTAGGCGCAGGGGTTAAAGTTCTCCGGCACAGCGCCAGATTTCTGGCATGGCGAAGTTTCTGTCCGGCACGGGCAGAAGTGCTCTGCAGTGCGAGCATTTCACTCGCATTGGCCCCTAAAAATATATTTGCGAACCGGGTAAATGATTTAGACGCACAGGGTGCGAGTAAACACAGCCTCCTGTTTACCGTAATCGGCATCGGACGTTTTTTCATCGATAACCGATCAAATAAATGTATTTTAAAACTCGCTCCTTTGGCTCTGATACAGCCGTCTCGCTCCCTGCCTGCAGTCCCCACTGCACGGGGCTTTGTAACAATGTCCCGCCTACAGCCCCCTCTGATTGGTTACACAGCACAAGTGATAGCCAGTCAACACTGATGCCTGTGCATGCTTTCACATCATGTCACATTGAGACACAGAGCTCAGACGGAGCAAGAGAGGCTCCAGTAAGCCAGCGGTAATTTTGAAGGTAAGGTAACAAAACCAGACAGAAACGAAAGTTGCAATAAAAGTCCTCTATGCTGAAGTTTTAAAGTCACCACCACAACATTATATGATCCATGTCAATGATGACATGCTTGCCCAGAGGCAAAATTTCGACGTAACTGCCTGTTTAATTCACATCAAGCGCGATACAATTTTGCAAACAGCCTAAATGATTTAGCTTCTAAAAATAAATAGCACCAAGGCAAAAAAGAGATGGAGGAGCTATAAGTCAAAAAGTCTGGTAACCACTGAAAGTTTAATCTTTATTTATAAACTTATTATGCTATAAAAGTTTAATCTGAAAAGTAACTACTAAAGCTATAATCTTTTTGTTCCTTTTGCTACTAAAAATGTTCCTTTGCAACACATACATTTCTATTTCTTCATTTTGTGACTGCAACACCAAGCCCCCGGCTCCGGAAGAGATTCCAGATTTCAGACACACAAATCTTCCGTGCTCCACATTTCAGGCACAAAATTTTTTCTTGCTTTAACCTCTGTAGGCGTACGATTGGGCTTCTTTGTGCTTGAGTTGTGGGAGAGCTGCAGCGCTATAGAGCAGAGCCCAGCATCAGCATTGTATGAAAAGCTGTCTGCCCTAGCACCTAAGTATCTGACCTCTGACCTTCCCGGCAACCTCCGTGTAATTTTCAGGACAATCAGGGCAGGATTCAGGATTCAGGACAACTGCTTGGA